TACTTAAATTATTATTAAGAACTAAATTAAGTTATAAAAGCGCAAATTAACTCCCAATAACAATTAACGCACAATTAAGTGATAATTAAGCATAAAATTGTATATCTGGACATTAAATGCTAAAAATGCAAAAGATGCCTATTTTTGTAATTTTTAATTTTTGTAAAACAAATTTAATTACTAACAATTGTAGAATTAAATCCTACATGCAAAATGCGACATATTTTGTATTTTTTATTAATTTAACAAATAAACAAGCACAGACAAATACAAATAATTATCCAAAAATATCACAAAATCTCACAAAATTGCACACCAAGGAAAATCATTTTATTTTGAATTTTTTGGGAGTAATTCTTATATAGGGCAAAAATCACGTGCTTACATGTATTCAGATGTATATATGTATTCAAATGTATCTGCAGTATGTATTCATATGATTTTTTGCACGATAGATGACCTGCTATACTTCATGTATTCAATGTATTTTTATGTATTTAACTCTATTTAATGTAATTATATAATTTTAATATATAAATCTATTTGTAAAGATACCACTAAAAATATTTTAATAAAGATACCACTAAAAAAGAAAGGATGGATTGAATCTCTAAAGATTGCTCTGTTTTTGGGATGTTTTTGGTTGAGAATCTTTTCTATAACTGGGAATACAATTTTTGTGTGTTATAATTGATTTTGTTGAGTTATATTAGGAGTCTATCGCGTTAATTGATTCACTTACTGTTTTTAAACAGCTGAAAAACTATTTCGCTACTGTATTCACGAATACAGCTCGCGAATACAGTCGAATACATTCTCTGCTTAGCTGGACTCCCCTGTTTTTCGCCGAGTTTTGCTACTGTATTCATGAATACAGTAGCAAAAATACATCGAATACAGTCTATAACAAGTGAAAACATAGTTATAGGAAGTAATTCAGTAAATTGTAGTTATAGCAAGCTAATAATCACTAAAACATAGTGGTTTCTGATTTATTTATTTTTTGAATTTCTCCCACATATCACTTGTTCATTAATGGACTAGACTGCCACACGTTGGGAAATATTGATATGTAGTATATTGATAAAAATGTTCTTCTTTTCTTACTATTTTCCATGTATATCACAAAAGTACGGTAATCCTGTTTGACCAAAAATATAGATCTTGGTTCAATTAATTAGATTTATGTAAATAAGGGTTAATCTTAGTTAATAATAATATTCTAAAGACGAAATTCCTAGTATTATGATAAATAACACGTAGATCTATTCCGAAGGTTATGAGGATGCACAATAATGACGATATTGAGAATTTTCTATGGTCAACTGGTGCACTTTCTGAATTTCATTATGTTCGAACTCTTGATGTGAGTCTATACGGCTATACCACATCATGCTCTTACAACTAGATCAAAGTCCTCAAACTACTCCATGAAAGATAACTGAAGTGAGAAAAATCTGTAATGAGACCGTGGTTTACAAGACAACCATCTTCTATTTTGATATTTGAAGTTTGTTTCTTTTGGAATTTTTTTTTTTGGGTAGAAACCAGTAGATGATCCGTGAAAACCTAATTTTGCATTGGGATAAATTCAGGAAAGATCCTTGTCACACACGTAAGAGGAGAAAAAGTATACTTTTAAACTAGAAAATTGATATCCTTTTGAGTGAACACACGCCATTGAACTAAAAGTCAAACCGTTGAAAGAACAAAAAAAATATTCACACTAACACATAATTAAATACGTATGTGTATTTAAGAGGATATTTTTATCTAAAGCTCAGTCATATTTCAGATGGACATCAAAGAGATGTGTTTAATAACTGAGGAACAATGTTTTATCTGATTTTACCAATGTATTTGGAGAACTACAAAAACTAAAGCTACCAATACCAGCTTAATTATGAATACGAGATACTAATCAATAGAAACCGCACCGAATTCTTTTTAAAAAATAAATTTGTACAATTGTGGCATTATCCTCTTCGTTATCCACCAAACAAATCACTTTAGTTACCAATACTACTAGCTCAATTGTGAATACGAGATACTAATCAATAGAAACAACAAACTGTACATTTGTGGCAATACTCTCCCTGCGAAGGACTCTCCCAACAAAATTAAAGGTCTCCCCCAACACGAAATACTCTCCCAGCAAAATAGAAGATCACCAATACTAGTACCAACAATCCAGTAAAAACCTTCCAGCAGGCTGTCAATAAAAGAAAGATATAATCAGAAAATAGATAGATAAAAACTGAAAAAGAATTAGACTGTTAACACAATACTCACATCCGCTTCGAGGACTCCTCAAGAGGCACCATAAGTCGCCCAACGTTTTGATCAATTTGGTCACCAGAATTGTTTTAATCTTCCTAATGAATTGACCGAATGGTCCATCAACGAATCCATCTAAAATGTTGATGAATCCATCAACCAAATTAAAATCGTGCCCCATAAGCATCATTGACTCATCCCAAATTAGAGCAACGTCTTTGAAACTCCGGGATATGGGATAAATAATATAATAGCTTGAACATTTCATAAAGTGCATTAAAGAAAGCATTAAGTATTTAAATGCAAACATAAGAAAACTCAGTCATGAGACATCAAAGATAGTAAGCATAACATTTTTCGATACTTACTGAGTTTAATCCATAATGATATTCTAGCTTTACCGGTTGGCATACTATTATTCGGTCGAGCATGTAGGGGATCCCTCCAGCATGGATTGGAAAGAAGTTAGTAATCTCCCGCTTGGAGAGATCAAGGATCATTCATTGCCCTCAAAGCACTAAGTGATGCGCTAAGGGCGGACGCAACACACAATTTTGTTACATTTTAAAAAAGGTCACAAGAAATTTGGGATTCACTTTTAAGGATGTGAATTGAAATGCTCTTATATAAAAATTGATTAAAAAAATATGGGAATAGGGTAGAGTGCAATAGTTTCAGCAATACAACTATTAAGCCCATGAGATTTAATTATTTTTTAAAGTTTAACTTCATATGGTAATATTATTACTTATACTTGTGAGGGTTAATCAAAGCAATAAAATATTAGCCATGTGTTTCTAATATATCACCTTAGATCTTATTGTAAAATGTGTTATTTATTAATAAGAAGATTTAAGTAGTTTCATTCAAAGTTCTAAGATATTTTTAATGTTAAAAAATAGGCAATGTTTCTTTCTTTCCCTTTTAATTTTCTTTTTTGTACTTTTTTCCCCTAGAAAATTCAATATTATCTAAGAAAAAAATAAAATCATAAAATCCACTACTAAGACTAAAGCAAAGAATTTAATGGCATTCCTCTCGAGCTGCACCTATTTAGTTATGCAATTTAATAAAATATTATATTCTGTTATGAACTTCTCAAACAACACAATTGCAAATAGGAATTGTGAATTAATCAATAGATGGGATTAGAACATAAGAAGATAGACATTATCATAACAAAGATAGTAACAGAAAGAAAGGATAGGGAGAGACAGAGTCATAGAAGAAATAGACGAGGGAAAGAGAGACCAAAGAGAGAGGAAGTGTCTAACAATATTCAACCTACTACATCAGTGCTACTATTTGGCTATTTAACTATTCATGTGTCCTAGTTAATGTTCTCATTCCAATGTACCCAATTCATCAATCCGGATCCCGAATAAAGCCTTTGTGGTGGTTTTTTAGTTCTTCTGCTTTTTCTAATTGGCCCAATTCTTGCATCTTCAGACGGCCCAATACCATCCTTGAGCCCAAACTCCTCATCCACCATGACTAACATTTGTGAGTCTTTGATTTTTTAAGTGCTGTTAAGTGTTTTGATTGCTCCAACTAAACAATGTTTTGTGCATGCATATCAGTTTTTTTTACTGCGCAGACACTTCTGCCCATACTTATCATGTAACTTTTCAACTAACACTGTTTTTGAAAGATATTTACACCCCTGAGTTATCTCTTTATTTCATTAGATGCTATTAGCATTTTTGTAATTTTGGAAAACTTTGAGAACTTAGCTTTTTCTGGTACTCTTTTTGCCCATGCTAGCGTGTAACCTAAAAATAGTAGCCCAACAAATTATATTTCATCTTTTAACATCAACAAAGTAAACTCTATCTCACGTTTTATTATTAATGTGGATGTCTTACAAATATATTTGGGCGAAACTGTGGTAGTGTGTGATAATATGTTTAGCTATTCAAGAAGATAAATTAATTATTTTGAGCATAGAATTTGAATTCATAATTTCAAATTTCTACACTAAAACTAATATACTCGCTAAGATACAACTAATTTAACGTTTCTAATGAAGATGATAATCAACTTATACTGTAGAAAAATCTCATATATTTTCTTTACTGTTTAGATCAAAGAATTACCACTACTAGAAAACTGCCAAAAACTGTCCAAATCATACTGACCGATATCGGCCGGAAGGGAAAACCGACCGATATCGGTCGAAAAAAGTATAATTTAATCGCAAAAGTCAAATAACCAATTTCAATTAAATACACCGACCACCATCGGTCAGTAAATGTGGTCCCATAATATCGAAATATTGTATCATCCGACACATTTCACATTTTCGACTGACATCGGTTGGAATAATGTACTAATAAAATATTAAAATAAAATAAGCTCCTCATTTCCGACCGATATCGGTCGGAATACTGAATTAAATTTTTCCCGCTCTGGTTCTGTTTTATTTTTCCATAACTAATATAGTTTTTTTTTTAAAAAATTGATGAAGTTTCCAACAGATATCGTCGGTATTAGTGGTCAAACACGGTCAAACATTTATAGATTATTGTTCTTTACAATCTACATATATTTAACATCCTAAATTGTAATATGTATATATATTACAATCGTGCGAGTATATGTTGTTGCTACAACTTAAGTTTTAATATAGCACTACATCTTATAGCACTATACATTTTGCTTTGAAACGTGTTGTAGTGTGTTGGATGCTAATACTTAGACTCGATCGCTCACACATTAAAACTCAATAATTAATTTACTAAGGCCGCCAGTATGCCCGAACATCTTGTCAATTAAAATCAAGAATTATGCATGTTCTAGGTTAAATAAAGTGATAAAAAAAACATATCCTAGGTTAATCGAATATAATTGAATTTCTAGTTAATCCACTGGTCAAGTATCCGATCAAAGTAATAATCAGGTGATCGAGAATAACTAGATTATCACATAGAACATCGATTGTATAATCTAGTTCTCAGTTGATCCATTGGTCAACTATGAAGCATGACACATCACCTCTGTGATAATCTACCCAAAAAAGTCGCCACCAAAGTAGCATTGATATGTCGCCGTTTAAACCCAAACAGTCGCCACCAAAAGTAGAATTGTATGTCGCCATCTTCACTGGCGACCCAAAAAGTCACCACTAAAGTAGTAGTATTGATATCCCCGTTGTCAATGGCGAAGTCGCCACCAAAGTAGTAAAGTCGCCACTAAAATGTAGTGCTAATGCACTTAAGTAAAACAAAGTCCGTGATGGTACATAATTTTTTAAGCCAAATTGATGCCAGCATATTTTTACAATAAATAGACAATTAACTAGGTTAGACTGATACATCTTCTGTTCTTATTATTTTTTTTCTTTTTATTGGAAAAATATTATGATCCTTTCCTTTCCTTTCTTATCTTTCAAGAGTGAGGGAAAGAATAGAAAATAAGGTTGCTTCAATACACAACTTGAGCAGGAGCTATTGGTAAACGCATTGCAACTTACTTGGAAATGGAACACACACACATTGAAAATGTAAATTCCATTAATCACAGCACTAAGTGAGCGCTCAAAATTGTGTACAAGGACAATGGACATAGACCTTTTCATCATATAGGGAATCTAACAGTCTATACTCCCTTCGGTCCACAAGAAAATATAAAATTCTAGACGAAAATAGTTAGTGTGACTAAACTACCCTTCATTAAATGTTGCACCATAGTTATAGTAGCACTTACTTCTCTTAAAAAATGTGAGGAGTAAATGACTTTTTAGGAAAACATACATAAGGATAATTTTGGAAAAACTAATTGAATTTTTTCTTAATTATATAAATGGACACATATTTTAGACCAAAATAAAAGGCCAAATTGACCACTTATTGTGGACCGGAGGGAGTACTTGCTACTCCCTTCTAACCAGATTGTCATAGGATGCACAGAGTCGAAGCTCTCCAGTCTTTTCGGGGAGAAATCCAAAAACAGTCAGATTTACAAATGGTCATTCAAAAATAGCCACAGTTTCAAAAGTAATAGGAATTTAGCCACTTTTCATGTAAAGATAAATCTGAACGAAAACACTGTTCAAAATCCGAAAAAATACTCCAGTATATTATACTAGAACTTTTCGCGTGTTAGAATTCCAGCATAATATGTTGAAAGTTCATACACAGTGCACCGATCTCCAGTATATTATGCTGGAACTTTCGTGTTGCAGCAAAATAGTGGCTATTTTTCAAACGCTGGCTATTTTTGAATGACCAGTCCGAAAACTGACTAGCACGTGCTATTTTAACGTCTTTTCGGTTGATTCACTTGATATGCTGAACTGTTGCATTATCAAAAACATTTTTTGTGGTCAAATAAGTGAATTATTTATTCTAATATGTTTTGTAGTATCGTATTCATGAGATTACTACTAAATGATTTGCTCTATACCTCGACTGACCTGTGTATGCTTGAAGATCTTCATCCTGAACCAGTGAAATTGTATTGCAACAACTAGGATAGGAAGTGATGATGGAACCAGAAAGCAGTAATATCTGTAATCGGAAAAAATCACAGAATCAAAACTAATTTCCATAAGCATCAACACGAAAATGATTTTAATAATATCTTGAGATCATGCGCGCTTCAATGTAATCTATTACTCCCTCTGGTCCATAATAAAGTGATTTTTTGGCCTTTTTTTTGTAGTCCAAAATATCAATTTTTTCAGATTTCAAAAATGAATTAATTATTTTTTTTCCTACATTGCCCTTGAAGTAAATAGCGTTGGAGTAGCAAACTTCAGCTGTCAAGAAGCGGATAATGCATGGATAAACAACTTACACGCAAATTATGCCTAACATAAGAACCTTTCCAGATGTTTAGTATGATAATCACAGCCTATATATAATAGATCCAGTCATGAACTTGTTTTCATATTCTTAAATCCCAATAGTCTATGCTTGATCTTCAACTTATGACATTTTAATAGAGTACGTAAAGTTCAAATACTAATGGTAATTAATACTAGGTGAAATTAGCGTTTACGTTTTTATGTGAAAAGTTTCTGGTTATTATTTTTATCGATGGTTATTGTTTTTTCTAGCAATTAGCTCCTACTAGTTTTGTGTTGTTGCCAACTTCATCTACTTATTGTAAAACATGTTTTGAGTGTTGGTATTCGTTAATTAGATCATGAGTCCTCAAGTAATTACTATATATTAGTACTTAACTAGTAATATTAAACATTTCAAAGAAACTTTGGATCGGAATAATTTTTTCTTTTGGATTCCCGAATTGAAGTCTTACATTCTTTTTCTTCTAGATAGGAAATATACCGTATAGTAAGATTTTAGTCCCAAAAGAAATTGAAATATTATGTCACATATATGAACCTTAAACAAAATTAGATCATTTATTTTATATAGGAATAAAGTAGTCCACCAACTAGCAAAGGAGACTGATGCACAAACAAGGATGAAAAAATATTATGTGCAGCCTCCGCTTTTTGTTGAATCTTTTGTAATGAAGGATCAAAAGGAACAATGTGTTTTTGTCAAGTATTTAGCTAATAATGCATGTAATGTACTAGCAAGCCTAGGAACCTTATGTGTCCTAAGCGACATGGGCTATGTCCTGTAATGTTTTAAACCCTACGTAGTACTAATATAAATATTCCTGTTTGCTCCAAAAAAAAAAAGGTAACTTTTAGAACTTACTCTTTTAGGAAATGCTTTTGGCAGATGACCAAGCAAATCATATTACTGTGGAGCTGTAGTTTGGTGGTTCAAATGCCTCTTCCTTTCCTCCTGTGACACAACGCCTCCCCGGCAGCTTGCCAAAACAAAACTCACAGCTCGGCAAACCAACAATGGCCTGTAAATTAGTTCATAGAAACAAACCAAAGTAAAGTTAATTATCAACAAGTGCAATATCCACAGAAAGAAATGGCTATGTTACCATTTCCAGTCCCTTCTCCTCCATAAGTTATCAAATCCTAATCCAAACTTCAACTTTTTATTTTATGCAAGCGTTAACGATATAATTTTTACTGCAATGCAAATTTAGGATTTACACTTAAGGTAGTTCGGAAGGGGAAAACGAGAATCCAAAGATCTTTTGGTTTATCATACTTAAGCATCTCCGTATTCCTATTATCAAATCACATGCAGTGTTTTTAGTACAAGTAATATGAAAAAAGATTTTAAGATTTGTAAAGAAAAATGACTTTCAGAAAGTTATTTTCCATCATTTATAGCCTTACAGGTGGAAAATATTTTCCTAGGCGGAGACATGCTCCCAGATTCAAGCTTAACACCAGAAAATAGTTTCACAAGCATATTTTGTTTGGGCTTCTCCCAAAATCCAGCATATCATTACCGTGTTTGCACATAGTCATCCCAATAGAAAGCCTACCAAAGCTCAATCATCTCAAGATACCAAAACCCACAAATAAGCAAACTTCAAAACGCCAAAAAAAAAAAGAAGTTGTTGTTCCGGCTTCCGACTTCCTGCTTCATACAATTCTCGTTGCCTCTTATGCGCCTCTCTAAAGGTTGCAAGATTACTCTCTCTCTTCCTCATAGCCTCCTCTGCGTTTCCGAAGAAATATTTAAGCATCTTCTCCAGGTGTGCCTCTTTTTTCCTCTGCTTCTCCTCCTCTGATGATGATGATAACGGCAGCATTTCCTTTTCCAACTTCTCAGATCCTGAAGGTGCTTTTTGCCTCTGCTCCTCCAAATCCGGTAACGGAGACGAACAACAAATTTTCGATCCTTCTCCAAAGAGCTTTAGCCTCTTCTCCTCTCTAATAATGGTGTCAAACTAGTTTCCTTTTGCCTATTCTCCAATTCTTCTCCAGAAAGGTTTAGCCTTGTGGATTCGGCCATTTCTTTTCTCCAGCAAATAGCGATGACCCGAAGTCCCTCCCTATCACCCGGAACCTTTTAACCCTCACTATTATTAATATCAAATTTTAATTTTTGAGTTTAAAGGGGGTCGGCTGAGTAACAAATTGATTATGATATTCATTGGTAGGAACAGGGTGTTCATAAAAACCTGAAAAATCGAATAAAAATCTGATACTTTGTAGGTTTGGTTTAATTTTTTTTTTTGAATTTTAAAACCGATCAAATTTAGTTTGATTTTGGTTTTAATCGAAAAATAACTAAAAAATTCGAACCAAACTTACTATAAAAGTAGTTATTTAAATTTATTATTACACCTATATATATATATATATTCCTAAAATTTTATGGTACATATTAGTCATTTATATTTTTAATCTTGTTTTTTGCTATTTAATAATTCAATTCTTTGTCTTTACATTCTAGTTTAATAGGTAGTTTTCTTTTGCAAAGTACAAGAATTTATTTCATGTTAAAAATAACTGATTTTTTAATTGAGTACTTAAATTATTCATTACTATTTGATTTAATTATCACCAATATATCTTGGTAAATGATAGATTTCTCAAACATCAATTGATTTGACAGTGTTATGTTGAATATATAGTCGCCGGAGTATGCGTTTGGTAGTGTATGTCTCATATTTAAAAAAAGAACCAATAAAAAACAGACTAAAACCGAATCGATAAAAATCGACTTCATTGGTTTGGTTTGGTTCCAATATTTCAAAATCTGACTTACTTGGTTTGGTTTCTTTTTAGGGAAACACCGACCCAAATCGAACCGTGAACACCCCAAGTTATGAAGATAGCCTCTACTTTCATATATTGTCTATATTTAACATCTGTTATACTATCAGACAAATTTATCCCTACTGTTATACTATCAGGCCAAATTTACTCCTACAATCAGCAAACTTTTAAAAATACTCCTTCATGTGTTAAGTAATCCAAAATCTCTCAAATTTTTTTATTTAAATCAATTCTTGTTGTTCTTGCTCCATTATTTTCAAAAATTACTATTGATGTGAATGCTAAAGTTACTAGGCTATATAAATTATTTATAATTTATTTTAATTAACAATGCACCCATTTTTTCTTGTAATAAATAAAATTGGTTTAGAATTTTATTTATTTTTCAATCATATACACATCGTAGAATTTAGTAGGTCTATTTATTGTGTATTATATGCAGCTGATCATCATGTGTGTACATGTATATTCAAATATATTTTATCATTGTCTAGGTATTATAGAGTTCGATCGACTAACTTAAGAGTGCACAATGTGTAGGCATTTTATTAAAGCAAAGTTGAATTAGACAATATGAAGTCTCCGAGGAACTTCTACTTCAATCACTGATCACGCCCAACTATGCCTTATAAAAAGGACAATGCGGTCGTTGCAAATATAATCCGGTTTATAAGTCCGGAGTCGAATCCCACAGAGAACTAAGGCTTAGCTACAGCTGTTCATTATCACCAAGAAGACAAGCTTGAACAGTTCCTAACTTATAGATATTTAGATTCTTGTGTTTAACTAATTGATTAACAAATTAAAATAATAAATTAACAACTAAAGATACTAAGAGTTAGAGACAAGATTAAGGAGGTCTAGAGTTATGATTTCCCCAATTGTCGGAATCCTTCCCGCTATGTCTTCTATAATTTCGCCTAAGTATTCTCTACCGATCATGAGCACTCTTATTACCGTAAATCTCTCCCGAGTAATCACGACAATTTACTAGACGCACTCTCCCGAGCTACGCTAGCTGGCTTTTGATACAGCTCACTTCAGATCGCACCCAAGGCTTCGTTATCCCTAATCCCGCCTTTAAACCCTCGGTTATTGATCCCTCATATACTCTGCGAGTGGTGTTGTTCAACAATTACCTAAATATGCACTCTCTCCCGAGTTATGCATACTAAATAGGCACAGCTAATTGAGAGCTCTTCAATTAACTACAATAAGAACGTAGTTGAACAAATAGAGATTATACTACGACTCAATTATATAAAAACATAACAAGAATTTATCCTACAAAAGGTTCTATCAAAACTCTAGATAACAAATTAGCTATTCATAATAGTATGTAAAACTGCAATACTAAAAGTCATAACCAACAATGAAAAACAGGAAGAGGAAAGAAAAAACTTGTAGAAGCATTCTCAAGCCTTGCTCCTATTGTGTCTCTGCCTCCTTAGGTCAAATTTATGTCAAAAATATGTCCCTTTCCCATTCTTGGCCGGCTTCCTTGGTTTAATATAGGGTTTAGGGCTTAAAATCCCGTGTTTTGCACTTTGGTCCCTGAAATTTACGCATCCTGCCGCGGTTCCACCGCGGTCGCGCCGGAACCGCGGCCAAACACCCTCTCAGATTCATCAGTTGTCCGCGACTGCCCTCTGCCACGGTTCTGCAGCGGTCGCAGTTTTTGACCCTGTTCCGTTTGGAATTTGGAAAAACGTAAAACATGAAAGTTGTATCCCTTTAAGTTAGCTTTCCAACCATATATTGTGGACTCAAATGGAGTTCTAAGTAAAAAGTTATGTCTATTTTACTAGACAGTGCGCAATATACCTCTTCGAGTTTTCGTTTTGTTGTTTTATCATCCGTTGATCCCCGAACGCGATCCCGGCTTAATTCCTTGAGCTATTACTCAGACGTCAAAGCTACAAACCACTAAAATTCATTACATAACATCTATATAGCTCGAAATCACACCTACAAGGCATAAAACACACAATTAGTGCAAAACACTAGCGATTAAAGCACAAACTCAACTAAAGTGCACTAAATTAGAGTGTAATAATCGACTAAAATACGTAATTATAGCCTATCATCAACACCCCACACTTAAACCATTGCTCGTCCTCGAGCAATCAAACTATATTTTTTTTTTATAGATACGACCTTTTTAAACAATTCTCCTAACTCATCACACCAAGAGTATTTAAAATAGACTAAGCACAAAAGCGTAACATCTTCACCTCAAGATTTGACTCATAAGTACCACGCATTATTCACAATTCACCTACTTACTCTAACATAGAGGTCACTGACATTACCTTTCCTTCATGAATCAAGTGCCCTCACACAACAAAAGAGAGTAGTTCCACACAATAAAATTTAAGAACACTTAGGAACTCAAGATAGAAAGAATTCACTCACTCTCAGAAATAACATTCATATGCCACAAAAGATGCACCATAAGCTTGCCCGTAGTGTACTACTCTACTAATGGAGCTCATTCAATCTAGGATCAATTAGGACTTTATTTGGTTGTAATGTAGGCTACGGGACGGGTATGATACATTTAGATATAAGAGTGACTACACCTCCCTAAGCACTTTAATACATATACTTTAACATTCAAACCTCATACTTATGTCAAGCCAAACTCCACCTTCACATCAATATACATCAACTCCCAAATTATTTAAGCCCAATTATATCAAGAGTCACCACTATCAAAGAATATATTTTTTTTCACAACAATACAACTATATTATTATTTTTTTCATTCTTTTCTTTTAAATTCAAGTGGCTCTTGCTTTTCAAATCAATGCACCCTTTCTCCCTATTTCATTAGTTCCACTCAAAAGCCAAACCAACAAGCCCACACTTTAACTTTTACAAAGTTGATAAACAATTCAAGTGCTCATGAGAGGTTACAATGGTTTAAATAGATGGTTAATTCAAACAAATGGGTAAGGCTTGTAATGTGGTTGCCAAAGAAATAAGATTATAGGCTCAAAGGGGTTAACTACGATACATGACAATTAGGTGGGTAAAATATACATATCTGGTTCAACAAAGAAATGCCTATATCACTTCCTAGACTGAATAAAACAACTATTTCGCTTCGCAAACACACATGGCAAGTTCTAGGCATCAAATGCAATGCACAGAATACAACAACCCTCACGCACACATGGCACATGACTCACTCAAGATTGGATCATCAAGACACTCTAGTCAAAGCAGTTAAGCAAAGTTAAGATCATACAATTTAAGGTACTTCTACAAGAGTCAAAAACTGAGCCTAAGCGTCACAACCAAAGTACTCACTATTCTCAAGGCATAACAAAGTCAAGAGATATTGCTTCAATTCAATTCATCTCACACTGGCTCCTACTCCCAAAAAAAAACTAACTACACCCGGTTCAAATAAAACCCTTGGAAAAGAACCGTGGTTTAAAGAAAAACCAAGGGGGAATTATTACACTACCTAACAAAAGAAATTTTTTTTGTACTTTTTCTTTAGACTTAAATCCCTCAAGAAAATTGTCTAATAGATCCATCATCGGGAAAAGTCCAATCTTTTCTATTTAAAAAAAATATTATTCAATTAAACTAACACAACTAAAATAGCATAGAAAGTCACCTAGACAATCTTCTCACCCCACACTTAAAATTGTGCATTATCCCCAATGTACACCATAACTAATAAAAAGGGTAAAAGAGACTCCCTGGTAGGCCAAAGGCCGAAATATTAACAGCTCATGGGGTACTCAGACTTCTCCCAAGCTTGGTCCTTTGTGCAGGTACCTCACACTTAGTTTCAACCATTTGGTTTGTTGTTGCATCCTTCCAATACCTTTGCTTT